TGAACCCCGGGACTCGGAAGTTCTATTTCTCATGAGCACTGTGCTCGGCAGGTCTATCATCATTAACTTGTGAATGGAAGAATGAAAACCACCTCAGAAAGTACCTATTAGAGCCATTTTAAAATGTGTTACAAAAACAAGCTAAACTATGACAGAAAAAACGGAAAAGCAGAAAAGGTTTTTTTTAAAGAATTTCCAAACTAAGTTAAACACATTTTAAATAATAACACATATAATGCTGGTTTAGACAAACACTTGTTTTATCACTAAATCTAAACGAATCATTTTGATTGAATAGTGGACAGTATGTACATCTCATGTCTGTTTATTGATCCTCTTCGTCCTTCTCAAACTTCCCCTGAGGGCTGTACAGCTGAAGCTCCATTCATGTGTTTAAGATGAAGATATAAGGCTTCAGGTTATTAAAGATGTTTTTTATGATGAGACAAGCAGCGTATCCTCAGTCTGCAGAGCAAAAACATCGCTGGCCATCTTCCTCCTTCTCTCTCTTTATTTCTCCCACTGCGTTCTTCACTCAATAAAGACACAATAAAGTTTCCTGTGAAACTCCTCACCATCAGATGAAAAGTTATTGTCATGCATTTATTGCATTAAGTCCACAGTGGGAGCAATAAAACCGCTGCTTCCTCAGGTTTGAGTTGAATCACACTGATCTGCCGTCTTCAGGAAATTTAACCTCTTAAACCCCCAAAACCTTTGTGATGATCAACAAACATTAACTACTTCTGCTCATTGTCATTGAAATGATATCCCAATGATACTAAAAGCAATAGTGAATATGTTTTTTAGTTTTTATCTGTCTGTGCTCTTCATATGGAATTTTGGCCTGCATGCAAAAAAGTCTTAGAAATCAGACTAAACTAAAACTAAAAATCAAAGTTACAAAGTTACATTATTGTATGCAGTTTTCTTTGTACTACCTTTACTTCTAATTAGTAGAATACTTCCATACTGTAGTATTGTTGCTGTTAGTATTTTAGTAAAACATATTGAGCGCACACACAGTCACCTGCCTGTGGCTGTTATCTGTCCTGCCGCGGTAAAGTCTCCAGTGTGTGTCTGTGATGAATTATGAATACGCTTTCAGCCTGACTAGTTTAGTTTAGCTGCACTGCCTCAGTTACCACTAAGCACATACAATCCACCACAGAGACAGACACACACACACACACACACACAGCTTCCCTGCGCTCAGTGGTGAACGTGCTCCAAGTGGAGCTTTCCATCATCTCAGCAGGAAAGCTTTAACTGAACAGCAACATTCAGTCACTCTGTCATGACGCTTATTTCTTTTCTCTATATTTTCACTGGTAATTTTTATCAAGGCTTAAATGTTACAAGTGCGTTTCGCCAAAATGTTGATGAACAAGTAGGTGATATATATACCATATACATTTGCATTAGGGCATTATTGATCTTGAGTCCATGAGTGAATACAGCTTTGATTAGAATGAGGAAAATACTGCTGTGGGTTCAAATGTCTCTTTTTATCAAGTGCTTTTAAATGAGATGCCAAATGTCCTTCACAAGCATCAACATGTGATGAACTGGAAGTAAAACCTTCCTCCATGTTGCCATCGCCCACTGCATTATGTACTAAAGCCGAAGAGCGCTTTGATGAAATGGCAGCATCTGACTTCCTGGGAATGATAACAGGTTGGTGTTGTTTTATGTGCAAACTGAATGTCTTTCCTGTGATTCATTTTGTAATTTGAATTAAATGGCCAAGAAAATAGAGGTTAGGTTCTGAAATGGGTATTTCAGGTTAGATCAGCAGTTTCACTTCCAGAAGAATGTCCTTCAAGTACCACACAAGGTGAGTAATGTCTGTAGTAAACAGGCTTTCTGTTTCTGGCACGTGTTGGACAGTCTTTTTCCACCTGCAGTTCTTTCCTCAGTCTGCAGGCCTGTAGTAAACCCATCTGCCCATCCTCTCTGTGGGAATCCCTGCTGACATCATGGTTTCTGAGTGAACATTAGATATTTACAGCACCCGCATAATGCCTTTTATCTGCAGCCACTGCTCTGAGATTGGCGTTTAGCTCCCATCAAGCAGCTGGTGCTGCACCTTCGACCCTTCTGGTAATGTGTTGGCTGCTGGTTTTATGGTTTTATGGTCATTACCACCCAAGAGCTGATTCCCAAAAGTTTGAAAGAGTTTCTACAATTCAAAGAACATAAACAACTGAAGTTTCAGAACAAAAGTCAACATGTTATAGTCCTGCATTTATCTATACAGTGAACTGTGTTCACATGTAATCCATTTCCCCATCAGTCACTGTGTTGTCTGTACAGCTTAAAAGCTTTGAGCAAACCTGAAAGGAGTTCTCCTTTAATGGGATCTGCCTGATTGCTCTTCTACATTCATCTGTTTGTGATTATGAAATGAATCAGCTGAAGTAAACAGATACATTATTCAATAGTGGGACCAGAGGTGTGTTTAGATCAGGTAAAGAGCTTCCATCATTCAGTGGGCTTCCTTTTAAATGTTCAATAACACTTTATAATAAAACCTGCATTCAAATGTCCAATCCCATCCATCCATCCATCATCCATCCCCTTCCTCCCACACAGGTCTGATATGGCAGGCCCAGACATCCATCTGCCCGACCACATCATCCCAAAGTGATCAAGCAGCGCACCCTCCACTCCATGGTTGTGTTTAAAAACTGTACATAAAACTTGTGACAGAAGTGGTGCCAAAGGGCAGCCCTGCTGGAGTCCAGCACCCGCAGAGTATGAGGCTGACTTGCAATGTAGTTCAGGCTCTCACTACAATCGCACAGATGCAAAGTACTCTGTGCAAACAAGCGCGACAATTCAAAAGCTTCCCCAGAGGACGACCAGAGAAACGCGGTAATATCCGGTCTCCTAGTGTGGAAACACTTGTACACCAATTGGGTAACGAACTGCTCCAGTGTAATATTTAACCAAAAAAATAAGCACAATGTTGGAAAATTGTTTGGAAAGAAACTTCTTCATAGACAGATGCATCAGGAAACATGAAACACCACAAGCAGGAGACTTTCATTCAGATCGATATGCAATTTTCTTCTGAACTCCAGCAACTTCTCTCCACGTTCCTGATGCTTCTGATAATACGGTGACTCTGGGTACAATCATCAGGATTTTCATCCCTTTCAGGCAACCTTGTAAAGTAAGCAAAGCAGTTTCTTAACAGAAAAAAATATATCTATTTTTCCAAGTTTCTTTTTTCCAAGGGATATTTTTCCCTTTAGGAAGATCACCTTGTGCTTCACCCTCATACAAACTGCCACAACTAAATAAAGTGTAAACCTTTCAGTAAAACATAAATCTCCTGCATCTGCTCTTCTTCACATAAATTGGTCAATAACAGGAAAACAACAGGTCTCCAATCACTAATCAGCAGAAAACATGCTTCTGATTACTAATCAATAAAGAGAAACCAGGCTGTCTGCTCACAGATCAATAAAATGTCCTCGGGAAGTGCAGTGGGGACTTTTCAGTCTTTCTGATTTTACAATTTTCCTTCTTGTTTTATTGATTGGGGGTTTGTTCTTTGTTCAGCTCATGGTTACATCCTGTTTCTACAGCTGAGTTATTTTATTTTTTATCATTTTAATCTCTTCTTTGATCCATTTTTATGTTACTTTTCTCAAATTAGGATTA